CGAGGAAAGAGAGTGCACTTCCCTCGAAGCGGGTGTAAGAGGAAAGTGCACATTCCGCCGAGCTGAGAGTCCGCCGAGCTGAGAGGCAATCAGAAGATGATGTCTTGGACCGGTCTTTGAATAAGCAACAGTCGCCATCCATGAGGAGGAGGATTGAGACCAGTCTTCTCCGGTGCCTAATGTGTCTGGTTCGCTCAGTCTCTTATCCTCCCGCTCGGTCATGCTGACTCAGTCTTGCTAATATCGAGCTTGACCTCGACTGTAGTGTAGCAAGCTCGGCCTCAGTCATCTCTTTTGCTAGTTCATCTGTTGCTTCCTTATCTTGGAGACAATAAGTCCCCCAGTCCCCCACTCCTTGAGGCGAGTGAAGACGAGATAAAATGGAGTAGATATTCCTCATTCAATTATACTTGCACAAAATATGAATATGTATAATGCAGAACAAGTCATGTTTGACCATGACTCTGGCCTCAGCCACGCTGAGCTCGGCCTTGGTCATATCGAGCTTGGCCACATCCGATTTCCTTAGCACAATATGATGTCCTTGTCATCAAATAAAAATGATAGATTAAATCCATCAAAATATGAAAATCAGATCATCAAATAAAGATAATCGAAAGAGAGGCCGAGTTAATCAACCAAAACAACTCGGAGCGTTAGTGCCTGGGAAAGAACCGCTTCAACACAGAACAAACTCAACCAGATAAGAACTATCAAGTTAAGTCGTAGGAAACACGAAACAAAACATGGAACTGGAGGCTGCGCGACGGTTGGATTCCTGGAGGCATGCAGACCACAACGGCGCAACATGCTGGAGTTCTTCACATAAAGACACCAGGAGAGGCGTCGCGTGGATCTATTTTTTATTATTCATCTAATTTAAATTTTAGACTTTGTGAAATAACCTTATATTTTGGTACCTTGTTTTTATTTTGGGAAAGTACAGAAAAGGTACCTGTGGTTTGGACCGTTTTCAGATAGGGGCGTCTGTTTCATTTTTAACAAAGTGGGACATGTGCTTCAAATGTATTATCACAACTGGGCATGACGTCTAACGCTGTTAGAAGAATTAACCTGATTTTCAAAAGTCTTCAAAACATTAAAAGAAAAATACTGGGAGGTACGCCTCGTTAAGGAGACCAACAAACTATCGTTCTCTTTGAATTTTTCGACTCTATTTAGATTGTTTTAAAAAAATGAATTTGATAATTTCACTTTTCCGATGAACTTTCTGGCGACTTGGTAGCTGGAAACAAAAGGGCTAAAGGGTCAAATAGGTACATGAACTAACCTAAAGTGTTCAATTAGCCCCTTATATAGGAGTTTCTGCCCGGACGTCGCCAATTGGGGGGGTTCCCGGTGGAATTTTTTGATGAATTTTTTTTAACATCTTCTTCATTAAGTCTAGTGTACCCAGACCAAATTTCAGCTAAAAATTCAATCGGGAAGGCAGTCGAATGATTTTATGAAAAATTAAACAGCGCAGTACATTTCGGAAAATAATTCGACTGCCTTCCCAGTTGAATTTTTAGCTGAAATTTGGTATGGGTAAACTAGACTTAATGAAGAAGATGCTCAAAAAATTTCATCAAAAAATTCCACCGGGAACCGCCCCAATTGGCAACGTCTGGGCAGAAACTCCTTTATAAGGGGTTAATTGAACACTTTAAGTTAGTTCATGTACCTATTTGACCCTTTAGCAAAACAAAAAAAGAAAGATGGACTTGAGGCCTTCTTAACGAGGCGCATTTCCTAGTATTTTTCTTTTAATTTTTCGGAGACTTTTGAAATCGGAGTTAATTTTTCTAACGACGTTAGATGTCTTGCCCCAGTTGTGATAACAGAATTAAAACCCATGTCTCACTTTGTTAAAAAATTAAACATGTGGCCCATCATGAAAACGGTCCAAACCACCTCTAATTTTTCTGAACTTTTCTCTTTTATTTTTTAATCTCATCATTATGATTAAATTTTGAATGAGAGTAGTCCTTGTAACTTCGATTTGATATATACGTAGTAATACATATTCTTATTTTTTTTATTTTTAACCACCATCGACCAGGGGCAAAATATATTATACACCCGGCTGTACCGTGTCACTTGGTACAGCCAGGTATTTTTGTAATTATATGCAAACCGGAGGTCATTAGTTAAGGATCATGGTTTTTGCTTCCTTTGTTTCTCCTCCTCCGTTCTTGCCTTTCCGATTTTTTTTATTGCTTTTCCTTATATTTTAACTTTATAGTTTTTACTCCTTTCTTCCTCTTCCGTTACTTTACTGCTCTTCCGTTTTTTTAGTTTTGTTTTTCCGTTCTTTTAGTTTTGCTTCTCGTTTTTCCTTTCTTTTTTATAGTTATGGTTTTCCTTTTTCTTCTTTTAGTTTGGAACTTTAATTCTCCTATGTTTCAATTTTCTTTTTCTGCTTCGGTTTTTTTTTGTCTCTAATTTTGAACTTTAATTTTTCCAACTTTAAATTTTCTTTTCCTTTTCTATACTTCATTTTTTCTTTTATCTTTTTATACATACTTTTTGTCTTCTGGATCACTAATTTTGAACTCCTACTTTTTTGTTTTTATGTAATTTTGCTACAATAACTTTTTGTCTTTTTCATGCAATTCTTTCAAAAATTCATATCAAATGCGATGCAATAAAAACATATACACCTATTCTTTATGTTATACTGATATGATCATACATAAATTGATATTTGAGCATACTAGAGATTTTAAATGAGATTTTTAATTTTTTCGATGCTCATTTCGTAAGTTATCTATGCTCATTTGACATTGGCGTAATGCTAACTTTAAAATGAGTATTACACCAGACATTTTAAAATGTCATATCCATGCATATAGGTGTAATGCTCATTTTAAATATTTTGATGCTCATTTCATAAGTTATGTATTCTCATTTGATGAATTTGTACTCATACTATGCTCATTTTTAAAATGTTATATTGATGCAAATTTTAAAAGTTGCATATGACATTGGATTCACATTGTTAAGTTCTTAATACTCAAATAAATAAGTTTGATGCTCATTAAAAGTGTTTTAATGCTCATAATAGGTCCAATGCACATTAAAAGTTCATAAATGCTCATTTAACAGAAATTGTAATTTCATCTCAATAGAGAAGATTTGATGCTCAATGAAAATGTGGTTATGTCAAACTAACAAATCTTACGATTTTCATATCAATGAACATTTGTAAGTTACGTATGCTCATTTAGTATTGATCTTATGCTCATTTTCTAAATGTTATCAATGTATTTTTATAAAGTACTATTAAGTTTTAATAAAAGAAATAATAATAAAAAGAAAGTGAAGTTATGAATTGGAATTAGAAGTTATGAAACAAAGATCACGATTTTGAATATTAGACTTCTAATACTCAACATTAGACTTCTAATACTCAACATTAGATACTTTAATGTGCTTTTGAATTTTTCTATACTCATTTTGTAAATTTGTGTGCTCATCTAGTCTTGATTTGATGCTCATTTTAAAATGTCATATCAATGCATATTTCAAAATTACCATATTACATTAGATTCGAATGAGAGTCTATTATACACACGAGAGTGAAGATCGTGATACTCAATTGCATGCTTCTAATACTCAATACAGGAGGTTTGATGATACATGAAAATAATTTAATGTTCAAATTAAAGCTTATTATTTTCATATCAATGCCCATTTTGTAAGCTGCATATGCTCATTTGGTAATGATGTTATGCTCATTTTAAAGTGTCACATCAATGCTCGTTTCAAAAGTATTATATTACATTAGATTAAAATCCTAAGAGTTGATTATAGATATAAGTTAGATTTTTTATAACAAAAAATAAGAAAAACAAAGTGAATTGGAAAATATAAAGCAACGATCACGATGTTCAATATTAACCTCATAATACTCAACATAATAAGTCTGATGCTCATATCAAATTACCAATACCAGATGAGCATACATAACTTTTAAAATAAGCATCGATCACGATGTTCAATATTAACCTCATAATACTCAACATAATAAGTCTGATGCTCATATGAAATTACCAATACCAGATGAGCATACATAACTTACAAAATAAGCATCCAAAAATTCAACAACTCATTTGAATTCTCTAATGTTTTCAAATTTTCATTTGTGTATGGTCCTTTCTTTTAATCGTAATATATATTATTCATTTCTATAATATGTACATGTAGTAGATATAAGTTAGATTTTTTATAATAAAAAAAATAAGAAAAACAAAGTCAATTAGAAAATATAAAGCAACGATCACGATGCTCAATATTAACCTCATAATACTCAACATAATAAGTCTGATGCTCATACCGAATTACCAATACCAGATGAGCATACGTAACTTACAAAATGAGCATCGAAAAATTCAACAGCTCATTTGAATTCTCTAATGTGTTCAAATATTCATTTGTGTATGTTCCTTTCTTTTAATCGTTATATTATTCCTTTCTATATTTACTCATGCAGATTTATTTTATATTATACTCATTTTAGTATATAACAAAACTCATAATAGTAATTAGATCACAATAATTGAGAAATTAATAAATATTCATCTTAAGATTTAAAAAAGAAAAATAAAAATTAATAACTAAAATATTTTATAATGCACAAATTAAAAAAATTAAGTTAGAAGGTTATTGGAAAAAGTAAAAGTTGTTAAAGCAAAAACAGAAGAAAAAAAGCAGGAAAGCAATGAAAAGTAATTGCAAGAGAAAGAAAGAAGCAACAAAGCAAAAGTTGTTAATGAAAAAAATGAAAAAGAGTGAACGGATGAATAAGAGAAAGAGTGAAAAAGACACTGACAAATTAAACAAATGAAAAAAGAAGCAGAAAGGACTTTCAATGAATTAAAAGGGCCGAAGTTGACGGGAATTTCAAATTTACCTGGTTGTACGGTGTTCACCGTACAGCCGGTTGTAGGATATACGGACGACTCATCCACCAGGTTGACTTGCGTATAAATATGGAATGCGCTTTAAATTTGAAAGCAAACTGGACATAACAACAGTGAAACTTGATCTCAAGCTAATCTTAATTCGCGCTTCCGGAGATGGAGCTAGCGTGCTCATCTTGTTGCTCTCATCGGATTTCACCCGTGTTTAATTACAAGAGAACCCTTGCACGCTCAATAAAATTATCCAGCTGGTCCACCTGCAAAGCTGCTTACTCTGCCCTATTTAAACCTTCCGAAACCTTTCCTTCCTCAGATGGGATTCGGAGTTCTAGAACCTTCTCGAAATCTGCTTCAGTCAAACTGTGCAGACGCGGTTCCGTCTTGGTACGTCAAACTTCTCAATTCTGTGATCGTTTTTTATTCGCTTTTCAATCGGCTTTGTTCTGTAACAGATTAACACCTCGGTTGAGCTGTCCATTTTCTGAGTTAGTCATTTTGCCTTCTTAGTTGGATACTTTGATTAGTGTTCCGCAATGTTGTCAAATGGAACATAACACTCACTCCAGTAAAAAAAGAATCTTGTTTGGTTTAGGGTATGTTTGGAAGTTAGTTTAGGAGGGGAGGGAAGGTTTAGGAGGCTTCATGACCCTCTCTTTCAGTCTTTCTTGTTTGGGTGTTTAAGAAATTGGAGGAGAGATTTTGGAGAGCTTTTGTAACCCTCCAAAACCCTTCAAATGCTCAATTTTTAAGTTCCTCAGATTTGATTTGAAGGTATTTGAAGGATAAAATATAAATAATAATTGTAACTCAATTTAAAATGAATATTAGGGGGGTTTGGATCTGAGTCTTAAAACCGCTTATGCTCCCTGATGGAGCAGAAGCTGGAGTGTTTGGGTGAAAGTGCAGAAGTGATTCTGGTGCTCTTTTTTACTCCTAGAATTAGTTTTTTTAGAAGCTGGGGGTGGGCAGCTTCTGAAAACTGATTCTGATTCTGCTTCTGCTTTAAAAAAGAAGCAAAATCAGTTCCAAACACCCCCTAAGTTCAATTATTTGAATTCAATATATACTCTATAACTTAAGCGATTAATTATAATTCTCGTGATCCCTCCTTTTTCAAATTTATAACTCCCAAACAAAAACAAAAGTTTCTTTCACTCCCCTCCCCTTACCCTCTCACATCTAACCTTCAAAACCTCCCCCTCCAAACTCCCAAACATACCCTTAAGGACTTTAAATTCTTTAAAGTCCTCTTATTGTGTCATTAAATAAAAAATTAACCTTTTTTATGAAATGTGTTCTCCTTTGGGGACTAATCTTTTGAAACTAGACTCGTTTTTAGATGGAGAGAATAACTTTCAATTGGCAGAAGGGAAATTTACCTAAATCTAAATGTGACCAAAACATTTATAGATACCTAATACTCCCTCCGTCCCTAAATAAACTTCCAACTTTCCTTTTTCGCCCGTCCCAATTAAAACTTCCACTTTCCCTTTTTGGCCAGAATTTGTGGTTCACAGCGATTCTTACACATTTCTCTCTCCTCTGCACAACTCTCCACCACACAATATCCACTATCTTAAACTGTGTGTCAAACCTATTTGGAAGTTTAATAAGGGACGGAGGGAGTATATGCCTAGCAAACTTAAAAGTGACTCTATTATCATCATTGATGTGAATTTTCTCGCACTTAAAAATGATAGTAGTATAGGGTGTAAGTACGAGTATCGTCTCCACAGGGACGGAAAAAGGGAATTAAGTATTAATTATATTCAGCGATAAAAAGAAATAAAATAAAATGCAATTGTGCGAGTTTGGTGGTTTGGAAAATTAATATGCGAATAAAACGATTAAAATAATGGGTTCTCTCTAATTAATGACGAAGGGAATAAGGATTGATTCCGGGGTAACCAGATTTCTGGCAGATCAGACTTAATTACATGAAATTAATTAATTGAGCGTAGTTAATCATTACTAAGTTCTTACCACTCTCGCGGCGTAAAGTACAATAATTTAGGGGACCAAGTTGATCTTTCATGCGACAGGATCCTAAATTATTTCCAAAACGAGCGAGCTTACATCCCCTTAATCGCTACTAATCTCTTAGCGAACGATTAAATGTGTGTGAAGGTGTCTTAGAATAAACTAGACCTCTCTTAATTAATTCTACAAGCAATTGTAATTCTAACCGCGGTTCCAGGTTACAAAAGATATTAGTTAAATCATTCATACACAAATTAAATAAAGATTCATGCAATGTAAAGTTGTAAACCCTAAAGAATCTAGCCATACATCATGAATAACCCCTTCATCAATCCCAAATCCCTAATTAAAACTACTCACAATTCATAATTGAATAATCAATAGAATTGGGAAAGAAAGAATTAATTTTCATTAATTAAAAAGATGGAACTTACAAAGAATCCCAAAACATTGATGAACAAGGCTGAAAATCTCTCTAAATTTCGTGCTAGGCACTCTCTCTAAGCCTCCCTTGAAAACGGGGGTTTACAGGCTGTTTAAATAGAAAAAACGGGTAAAATTTGAGCTGAATTGGGATTTTTGTTAGGAACCCCAAGAATCCAGAACAATTATACAGAAAGATTAACAATGAAACAATCTAAAAATCTTTATTGAAGAGGAAGATCGATTACAGGAGAAAAGTGATAAGGCCGAAGCCTCCCAAAAGAGAAAAGTAAAAAGCCTCCTTACTACCCCCCCTTCCCATCTATTTATACTAGAGACCCTTATTACTATTATTATTATTATTACTTCTAATATTATTCTAATTAGTAGGTCCTTATCAATTTCCGGAGGCAGGCACGGTGCAGGCACGACCGTGCCTGAGAGCGTGCCTCCAGAGTAAAGTCGCGCGTTTTGGGCAGGCACGATTGTGCCTCCCTCCAGGCACAATCGTGCCTGGCCTCCAGTAGCTAGGTACCTGTTTCTTCTTCAGGCACGACGTGCCTATCTCCAATGCACGACCATGCCTGACCTTTTTGCGTCCAAATTTGACAATGCTTCTTTCATGAAAGTTGTAGATAATGAAGTCCTCTATCCACCACAACTTGCAAAACTGAATTTGAATCATCCAATCAAAAGATATGAATAAAATGGTGGAAGGTGGCATTCTGAAATCGCAACAACGAATATCTTACTTCCTCGTCTGTTTTCACCTTTGTCCTCTCCGATTCTCGCCATGGTGTCTTCATATGATTTGTAGACCATGAAGTTGGCTTTCATATGGAACTTGAATCGTGTACGTTAGATGTTCCTACAAAAAGATATGCTTGAATGATTGCCAGAAGGTCATCCTGAACACCGTTTTCAAGCTCTATTCGTCTTCTTTTAATCCCGTAGCCAATCCTAGAGCTCTTTTTCCTTCAAATCTTCATTGTGAACCTCCCGGTGACCTCCAAAGCTCTCGAATCACTCTCGAATGCTTCTCATCTTGTCCCGATTGCTTCTCAAGCGGTGGTGATAGACTCCAAAAACCTGATTCCCACTCAAAAAATACAAAACTCGAACCAACGCCCGGTAAACATAATTTGAGCTAAAATTGAGGCTTATAACACCTGAAAGCTAGGAAAATCATCAAAAGCTGATCCCAACACACATCAAATGCGTGTTGTAATACGAACTTATCAATCATCATCATTACCCCAGTGTCACAAAGGCTCCCACCTACGGTGGAGTAAGGCCTCCCCCGGATATACACAACCTTATCCCTGCACTATAGCATAGAGACTGTTTCCGGATGACCCAGGATGAAAATTGCGTCGAAAATTGCATGACTGACTGTTGCTTCATACATAGTAATAAGAAGCGCGGACAGTTTAGTGAGTCAGTTTGCTTTATTCCATCATATTCTCAAACCAAAAACTAGTGAGTTTTTGGCTTCACTGCCAATGATGGAGATTAAACATGACTCTATATGAGTAATAATTAAATTCAAGGGAGAAAAAGTAGCATCAAAACACATATCATACATGTAAAACACCATTAATTTAGGAATAATTTTTTTTTTACTCATATTGTAGAAATCACCGCCTCCTAATAATTTTCTTGTATATGCACTGTTCACTTATTCCTTTTTTATTATAATTGCAGCATATATTGCATCTTTCTTTCTCCGATCAAGAAAACATTTAATATCAATTTTCCATTTATGTCATTCTCTATCTCATTTCTCGTTTGAGGCAAAGTCTTACTGTTCCAGGCCTTCTCTCAAGTTGGGGCTGCAGGATATGATCCAGGATTGAATAAAATTTCACAGTTCAGAGATGCCTTTTGGAGATTTTTACGGCCCCATACCATACGCGGTACCACGTTAGGATCTGTGTAAGTTTTTTACTCTTCTCGATTGATAGTGTGCATACATAATTGAGTTCGTCGGCGATAGCTATTGTGTAATTGACTTCTTTTGGCAGATCATTGGTAGCAAGAGCTCTAATCGAAAACCCAAATCTAATTAGGTGGTCATTGTTACTCAAGGCGTTTTATGGGCTCTTTGCTCTCATTTGTGGCAATGGCTATATAGTGGGCATCAATCAGATATACGACATTGGAATTGACAGGTAACCCTAAATGCTTATTATTCTTAAGTAGGAAAATCCTAACCATATCCCGTAGGGATTAGGGTTTTGTTTAAGTGGATGGCAAAGAAATACAATGTTGTATATAAAAAGAACAAACTCCCATGGTTTTGAATTAAAAGCTTCCCGCTTTTAGTTTGTTAACCATTGTCCTAAGGCCTGTGGTGAGCATGACCAAGCTAAATTATTATTGTTGTCCGGGGAGGGGGGATCATGACCAATTTAAGTATTATTGTTGTCGGGAAGAGAGGGGTGGGGGGTGTAACGATCCCACACCGGTCAATTATGGGATTGACCGGTGGCTTATAAGCTAGGTGTCCCCTCCTCTAATCGGCTAGTCTTTTGGGAGTGAGTTCTACACTTGGACTTAGTGCCTTGCTATGGGCCTAGTATGGGCTAGGTCCATAACAAATGGTATCAGAGCCATCCCCATCTTCCTGGTCCCGACACTCAGAGTGGTGGCCTATGGAGTGGTGGCTTGGGCCCCGGGGGTGCCAACCGTGACCAACATAGTCGTGACCAACGAGGACGTTGGCTCTTCGAAGCGTGGGGTATTGTAACTATCCCACACCGGTCAATTATGGGATTGACCGGTGGCTTATAAGCTAGGTGTCCCCTCCTCCTAATCGGCTAGTCATTTGGGAGTGAGTTCTACACTTGGACTTAGGGCCTTGCTATGGGCCTAGTATGGACTAGGTCCATTACAGGGGGTCTCCGCTGGGGTCTCCATTAGTGCAAATGAATGGGTTGTGTGAAGGAAGAGCTGAGGGAATGTTTGGTTCAAAGTCATGTAGCATACCAAGTTTATTTGAACGCTATAATCTTACATAGTTACATTCAATGCTTGGTTAGGTTTGTGTTTCATTTTGACGGGAATGTGATTCCCCTCATCATTGTAGCTTATGTAAGATACACATGGCATTAGAAGTTGCTAGGTGCTCCATGGCCACCACCTAGTGCCTATGCAGGAGGTTCCAACGCAATTCCTAGGGTTTTATTTTTAAAACTACAGCTTGAGCATTGTCTTGAAAAATGACGATTTGAATGGTCCAAGCATTATTGATTTGTATCAGTTACTTCTTTAGCACTATAGCATGTGAAACACGCACAACCAGTAAGATTGATACTACACATATGATACTTAAGTTTAAAGAAAAAATCATCCAGAATATCTAGCAAACAGAATGCCTAGCATTCTAGCAACAGCTCAACCCACTGAACACAGTTGCAAACAAAATATCATATCATTATGGTCAATGCTTTATTGTCTTAATACACAGTTCTTGATAAGTTAAGTCATGAAGTTGTTATAAATTGATCCAGAGTATTAAGTGGATTTGCCAATGGCATAACTAATTATACATCATTCGTCTTCTCTTCTTCTCCATATACTTACAAGGTCACGATCTTGATCGGACTCAACTTAAACAGTCAAACCTCATATTCATTTGTCTCCTCCTCATGTGATTTAAAATCATCATCATGAAGTTGACTTGCATGCCACTTCTTTTAGGAAATTAAGAATCTTTCCACATTGCATCACCAGTCAATTCTGTCAACTCATCTTCGTCATAAGCTCCATCTGCTATGGTGGCAAATGACAGACCAGGGGCAGAAGTCAGCATTGTCAATGAATGGAATATGAGGCACAGGTGGAAGCATTTATGACTCTGGAGCCCGATTCTTCATATATATTTTAAAATAATTTGCAGAGGTGGAAGCCTTGCGGTTGTACCCTAATTCCTAATAGCCAAAAATAAAAAGCTAATAGCAACAATAAAAGAGTTGGAAATTAAAGGGTCTTTTGGATGGTGCGTGTTACTATATAAAAAACCGCATATTGGCGCCTAGGACCTAGGTGGCCACTTGCCAATCATTGTCCATTTGAGCCTAGGCGCATTGCCAGAAGGCTACCTAAGCCGCCTTTTACCACTGCCGTTACGTCACTTTAGGGTGGGCAGGTACAAAGAATTTGTTTTGATTTCACACAATTATTTAACACATAAGTATAGGCATTTTTCAAACTTGGGGTGGGCCTGGGGCCTAGTAAGGCTCCCCTATCTGTGCCCCTGATTTTGTTCACATTTTAAAAGGTTGTATATTCCATTTTTAGCATAATATATGTGAAAGTATATTAGAATATACTTTAGAATATGCTTTAGAATATATTAGGAATATACCATATATAGTATTATTGTATAGCATCTTTTATAGGAATATTCTATCTTTGTAATCTATATTTATAGGGCCTTACCCTTCAATGAAATACACAGAAAATCTTTCTCTCCATCTTTAATATCATTTTAGTTTATATTTCAACATGGTATCAGAGCTATCCATTTCAATTTAGTTTTTCTTTTTCAGATTTCAGTTTAGTTATTCATAACACTAGACTGATTTCAGTCAGAACCTCTTCCTAGAATTTTTCCCAGAACCTCTTCCCAGAACCTCTTCCCAGAACCCCTCTATTCTCAGAGACTCCATAAATTTATTAGAGCATTTCAGAAATCCAGAAACTTCAGAAGTTCAGGCCTAAGCTTTCAGTTCATTCTTTTACAGTTTTCGATCATTAGAGCATTCAACTCTATTGTCATCACTGAAACTTTCAGACAGTTTCTTTGCCGCCGGAAACCAAACCCCTGAGATCCAGAGAAGAAAATTGACGCCCATACTCCACACGCGCCGCCGGAACTCAAGTCCGAATTTCACGCGCCGGCGCGTGATGCTCACACTCCGCCCAGATTCACGGTCGACAACTGCCGACCGGCTGACCTGCATATCGCCTATCTTCTGTTGTCGCTTCTCTTTGGGATGCTTAGTATTCGTCACAGCTCTTCAATAAGCTGACATCTGAAAGAAAAAGACGGTACCAGGCAAACTAACGAATTTCAGAAATCTGGGTGCGCACACTCTCTTCTGGTAAGGACTTATTTACCGAGCCTCTACTTATTGACCTTTTATGCGAACATGGAGGATATAAGACATTAAAAGAAAAGTGAGATTACATTCCTTTGTTTTCCTAGTTTTTTTTTTTAATACAAAAAAAAAAATACAAAAAAAAAAAAAGAGAAAAAAAAAATGTTTCGTACAGGTCAATTAATATGCAATTACTGCAAGAAGTCCGGACACTTGCTCAAAGATTGTAGAAAGTTGGCATTCAAAAATCAAGGAAATTTGATTGCTCATGTTGCTTCCGCTACCACCTCATCTGATGGATCAGTTGCTATTTCTTCGGATGAATATGCCAAATTTATTTGCTACCAAGAATCTCTAAAGCATTCATCTGTCCCTATCTCGGTAGCCGCGAATTCAGGTATTTCAAACACATGTCTTGTTTCGTCATCCTCGAAATGGGTCATTGACTCAGGTGCCACAGATCATATGACCGGTAATCCTAGTCTATTCTCCTCATTCCATTCATATTTACCCACTTCTAGTGTCACTTTAGCTGATGGATCTACCTCACCCGTTCTTGGATCTGGTATTGTTGTTCCAACTTCTACATTACCATTATCGCCTGTTTTGAGTCTTCCTAATTTTGCATTTAATCTGCTTTCCATCAGTAAAATCACGCGTACTCTTAATTGTTCTGTAACATTTTTTCCTGGATATTGTGTGTTTCAGGATCTGTTAACGAAGCAGACTATTGGTAAAGGACATGAGTCAGCTGGTCTTTATATTTTGGATACATCCATCACAAACGGTATCTCTTGTCTTGGGGTTGGGACTTTGTTAGATGCTCATTACCGATTAGGACATCCATCTCTCCCATTAATGAAGCAAATAAATCCTCAATTTAATAAGATGACCTCTTTACAATGTGAGTCATGTCAATTTGCGAAACACCATCGTACTAGCTTAAGCCCGCGAGTTAATAAACGAGCAAATGCTCCATTTGACCTTGTTCACTCTGATGTTTGGGGTGCTTGCCCGGTTGTGTCTAAAGCTGGTTTCAAATATTTTGTTACCTTTGTTGATGACTATTCTCGTATGACATGGCTGTATTTCATGAAACGTCGATCTGAATTGTTCACTCATTTTTCTTCCTTTTGTGCTGAAATTAAAACTCAGTTTAACGTTCCTGTTCGAGTGTTAAGAGGAGACAATGCCCAAGAATATCTATCTGCTACATTTAAGTCATTTATGCTTCAACATGGCATTATTCATCAAACTTCGTGCGTTGACACACCTCCTCAAAATGGAGTTGCAGAACGAAAGAACCGACATTTGTTAGAAACTGCAAGGGCTCTTCTATTCCAAATGAATGTGCCTAAACAGTTTTGGGCAGATGCCGTGTCTACTGCATGTTTTTTGATAAATCGAATGCCATCTTCTGTTTTGAATGGTAAAGCTCCTTATCATTGTCTATTTCCAAACAAAGAGCTTTTTCCTATCCCACCTAAAATATTTGGTTGCACTTGTTTTGTTAGAGATGTTAATCCTCATCTTACAAAGTTAGATCCCAAATCATTAAAATGTATTTTCTTGGGTTATTCTCGAGTCCAAAAGGGGTATAAATGTTTTTGTCCGAGTACTGGTCGGTATCTTGTTTCTATTGATGCATCATTTCATGAAAATACACCTTTTTCATCATCTAAGGCAGATATTCATGAGAGTAATGATGATATACTCATTTACACGATGACTATTCCCGAGTCCACACTTTCGACAAATATTCCACAAGTTACTGTTCCTGACCCTAGGCCTCCCGTACATTTGGTATACACCCGTCGACACAAAGCACCTGATCACCCTCCACCGGCGATACCTGTGATTACTTATCCTGATACTAGTTCGACTCCGATCTCATGTCCTGAACCAGTACCTGCATCTTCAGATCTTGTCTCCACATCAGATCTTGACCTCCCAATAGCACTACGTAAAGGTACACGGTCTTGTACTCATCCTATTTCTTCATTTGTGTCATACAATCAGTTATCTCCTGCTTCATGTTCTTTTATTGCTTCCATTGATTCTATTTCTGTTCCCAAATCTGTCAAAGAAGCTTTGTCTCATCCTGAATGGCGTCATGCCATGGTAGAGGAAATGAATGCTTTAGATCTTAATGGTACTTGGGATTTGGTTGACTTGCCTACAGGGAAGAAATCTATTGGATGTAAGTGGGTCTTTGCTATTAAGGTTAACCCAGACGGATCTGTTGCTCGGTTGAAAGCCCGATTAGTTGCGAAGGGTTATGCTCAAACCTATGGTGTTGATTATTCTGACACTTTTTCTCCTGTTGCTAAATTAACATCTGTCAGGTTACTTATTTCACTCGCTGCAACTCATGATTGGCACTTACACCAGTTGGACATTAAAAATGCATTTTTGCATGGTGACCTTAAAGAAGAAGTCTATATTGAGCAACCTCCGGGATTTGTTGCTCAGGGGGAGTATGGTAAGGTTTGTCGACTTCGCAAATCTCTTTATGGTCTGAAACAGAGTCCTCGTGCATGGTTTGGGAAATTCAGTCAATCTATTGAACAATTTGGAATGATAAAAGGCAAATCAGATCACTCTGTCTTTTACAAACAAACAGAATCAGGTGTCACATTGCTTGTGGTGTATGTTGATGATATTGTGATTACAGGGAGTGATAATGCAGGTATTTTGGCCCTTAAGAATTTTCTGCATAGTCAATTCCAGACGAAAGATCTTGGCTCTTTGAAATACTTTCTGGGAATTGAGGTAACACGAAGTAAGAAAGGCATATTTCTATCTCAACGTAAATATGTACTTGACTTACTAGCTGAGACAGGGAAATTAGGGGCAAAACCAAGTACAACACCCATGGTTCCCAACGTGCAACTCACTCAAGAAGGCACACCGTTTGAAGACCCAGAAAGATATAGAAGACTGGTTGGAAAGCTTAATTATCTCGCAGTCACTCGTCCAGATATTGCCTATTCTGTGAGTGTAGTGAGTCAATACATGTCATCTCCAACCATTGATCATTGGGCTGCAGTAGAACACATATTATGTTACTTGAAGGGTGCACCAGGACGAGGTATTGTTTATCAAAATCATGATCACATGAGAATAGAATGTTTTGCAGATGCTGATTGGGCCGGTTCTAAAGATGATCGAAGATCTACATCTGGTTATTGTGTCTTTGTTGGTGGTAATCTTGTATCTTGGAAGAGTAAGAAGCAGAATGTGGTTTCTCGTTCGAGTGCCGAATCAGAATATCGAGCTATGGCACAATCTGCATGTGAGATCATATGGATAAGCCATTTATTGACCGAGCTCGGACTGAAGACATCAATGCCAGCTAAATTGTGGTGTGATAACCAAGCTGCTATACACATAGCAAACAATCCTGTATTTCATGAAAGAACAAAGCATATTGAGGTCGATTGTCATTTTATTCGAGAGAAGATACAAAAAGGATTGATCTCTACAGGATATGTGAAGACTGGGGAACAACTTGGAGATTTGTTCACTAAAGCACTAAATGGAATTCGAGTTGGTTATTTATGTAACAAGTTGGGCATGATAAATATCTATGCTCCAACTTGAGGGGGAGTGTGAAAGTATATTAGAATATACTTTAGAATATGCTTTAGAATATATTAGGAATATACCATATATAGTATTATTGTATAGCATCTTTTATAGGAATATTCTATCTTTGTAATCTATATTTATAGGGCCTTACCCTTCAATGAAATACACAGAAAATCTTTCTCTCCATCTTTAATATCATTTTAGTTTATATTTCAACAATATACAACCTTTTAAAGCTTTCGGCACAAACATTTGAGCCTTTCTTGAATTAATTACAATTACACACATATCTACATACATGTAGGGTTATTTTAGGTGATAAGTCAACTTAATACAAAATAAAACTATCAACCTTACATGTTGGTATTCGTGTATTACATCCCCCCAAATTAACCAAATACTCCCTCCGTCTCAGCTAAAGCTTCCCATTTCTATTTTAGGAAATAATTAGCACTCTTAAATGACAAATTAATCATTAAATATTAAAAATGATACACCTATAACATTACAGTTATCATCAATGACCTCATTATGTGTTATGTCCATCAAAACTATGTCTCAAAGTATATTCAATTTACCTTATTTAATTATTGTCTAAATAATCGTGCAATTTTTCAACGAGAAGCTTAAGCCGAGACGGAGGTAGTACATTTCAATGATCTCTCATTCTCACGATCTTATGTTCTTTTGAACCAAATGACCCTTAGAGTGTTGTAAGTCTTATATCCATAATCCTTCACAGGAGTAGCAGTTCAGTGACATTGTTATTTGTTTTAGTTACTCTGTAAAATCTTTGCACTTTGTAGGGTAAACAAACCTTATTTACCTATAGCAGCAGGAGACCTTACGGTTCAATCTGCATGGATCTTGGTGATATTGCTTGCTGTGGCTGGACTCTTTATTGTCGGGATCAACTTTGGTTCATTTATTGGTTCTCTTTATGCTCTTGGTCTCTTCCTTGGCACCATTTACTCTGTGCCTCCTTTTCGCATGAAGAGATTCCCAGTTCTAGCATTTCTTATAATCGCAACGGTACAGTTCCTTCTCCCTCATTTCATTTTACCTACTTTTTTATGTGGAAAATATTCTTTCACTTTTAGAATGATAAAAAAAATCAGCTTATATAGAGACATTTCTGAATATTTTACCTGTATAGTAGATTAGTAGATATATCTTTGTGAAAATAACTAAGAAACTTTTGCAGTTGTGCAATATTTGACTGTATAGAAAAAACTTTCTAAGCCCAAGAGTGCATTTGGTATTACTTATTTTCAAAGATCAAGTGCTTAGAGAGTATGATTTCATTAACAAGAAGCGTTTAGCAAGTTAATACAAAAAGAAGTGATTTTAATAGGAGCAGAAAAACCCTAGCAGACGATGTTACGTCTCCCCAGCCTTAGGCTCAAACCAGATTCTTTATTCTCGATAATGAATAATAGTTCACAAGACCTCCTTAAATACTCCTTAACCTAATAATAAAATATGGCCATCTAGGCCCAGTAACCTAATAATAAAATATGGCCATCTAGGCCCAACAGTTTATTAGAAATAACAATTAAATGAAATAAAGTAATAAAATCCAGCCACTCTAGGCCCGCTGGCGGCGACGATAAACCAATAATGGCTGAGGCCCATCCTCATGAAGTAGTGGCCCAACTGCCTCCCGCTCTAACAATTTCCTCCCCCTCTAAAACAACCTTGTCCCCAAGGTTGAAGTAAGGGAACTATTGCTGGAATTGCTGCACCCCAATCCAAGTAGCATCATCTTCCGGCTGACCAACCCACTACACCAACACTTGCTCCACATCTTTCCCTTTCTCCTGCACATTCCGCGAAGCCAAAACAGTAGCCGGCTCGAACACTGGCCCAATAGGTACTTCCAAACTTTCCGGTAACTCTGTTTCAATGGGATGATCCGTGACCACCCGGCGTAGCTGCGACACATGAAAAACAGGGTGGATCCTGCTAGAAGCCGGGAGAGACAGCCGGTAGGCTGCTGGACCCACACGTCCTTCGACCACAAAAGGGCCATAGAATTTGGCAGCTAGCTTGTGATGAGCTTGCTTTGCTACAGAAGTTTGCCGATACGGTCGAACTTTCAGGAAGACATGGTCCCCAATTTCAAATACCACTTCTCGGCTGCGCTTGTTTGCCTGCTTCATCATTTACTGTTGCGACTTCTCTAGATTACCCCTCAAACGACGCAGCAGCTCATCCCGTCCCCCCAGAACTTTTGCCACGGCCGCCACCCGGCACTCACCTGGCAAGAACCGCCGTAAGGATGGAGGCGGCCTACCATACACCACTTCAAAAGGAGTCATCCTGATACCGAGCAGACTCAGTCGTTTCCGACCGAAGAAAAAGAGGGCCCCAGGCCCTTGATCGTTTATCGCAGAAGGGGACGGGAGAAGACCACATCCGTGGGCTAGGCTGGCTGGATAAATTATTTAGATTATTTCTTAATTTATTAGTATTGGTTTTAATCAGTTTCCTAGTTTCAGTTTATTTCCTAATATTAGTAATTTAGGAGTTTCCTTTAATTAGGACATGTAGTCTATTTATACCCCCTAAGAGGGCTTGCAAACTAGGCTTTATCAATAAGAATTTGTGTGTTTAAGCTTTCAAGCTTTGGCAACGGTTAACTCCGTTGATTGATTACTTTCTGTTTTTATTAATTTGGTCCGACCTGCCGGATCCCGTCCCGCCACAATGACAAGATCTCAAAGTGAACGTTTGCAAGAATTGGAGAATGAACAAAGTCGCGTTGGAGAAGAAGTGGCCCGATTGGGGGCCGAACAGATCCGAACGAACCAGACCCTTGACGACCATAGTTCGAAGCTCGAATCAATGACCCTGACACTCGGTGAACACGGTGCGAAGCTGGAGGAAATCGTATCTTCGCTGGCCGCGATAACAAAGGCGTTGACACCGCTTAAAACGCCGGCTATCGACGCGGTAGGCGCCAACGTCGGCGCGCTGACCGTACCAACGATCGATGGGGAAGGGCGCAATTCCATGTCGACACCACTACCCACGTTCGATGGGGGGGGGACCCGATCGGGTGGTTGGCTCGGGTAGAGCAGCAGTTCGAGTTACAGGCTATCCCACCGGATCGGAAAGTGGCTGCCGCTATGGTAGCCATGGAAGGAGGCGCGCTTTACTGGATTACATGGCTGAGATCACGCAAACCCAATATATGCTGGGAAGATTTCAAACAAGCCCTGGTTACTAGATTTGATTCCCGATACCAGGGAAACCGTTTTGAACGTTTATCCGGAGTCAAGCAAGAACGAACGGTAGAAGATTACAATACTCTTTTTGTCCAGTTGGCAAGCCAAGTCCCGGGATTATCGGACGATCACTATATGGGATATTATATGAACAGGCTTAAAGAAGAAATTAAATGTTCGCTGCGTTTACTTCGTCCGGATTGTTTAGAAACGGCTATGGAGTTGGCCCTTGGAGTTGAACATAAATTAATCATTCGGAGCGGAGGAAAAGGAGGATCGAGTTACAATTCCACTGGATCACGAAGTAACAGTTATCCACGGCCAAACCCAGGTTCCCTCTCGGCCACCGCCAGTGGAAGCGCGCGAAATTATGGGGGCATCATGTCTCGGCCCATTGGACCAACAACGAGTTCCACACCACCAGTCGCTGGAACCACTTCCGGAACATCTGGGCAGCCCACAGAATTTTCCAGATTCACTCGAATACCCCCAAAGGTTTACGATGATTTACGCGCCAGAGGACTATGCTTCAAATGTCGGAAGCCTTACTCTCCAGGACACGAATGCCCGTTAAAACAATTACGGGTGATACTGGTGGATGAAGACGAAGAGTTGGACCTACAGCAACATGATTATTGCGACGTAGCAGGACAGGAGGAATTCCCACTTGACGATGGTTCTCCCGAGGGACAGGAGGGAGATTTTCCGGTCTATGCTATGGCCGGAATATTCAGCCCCCAGACTATGCGACTCCGCGGAACGATTGGAGGATGCACGGCCACCGTATTGATTGACAGCGGTGCCAGTCATAATTTTGTTTCTTCTTCTTTGGTATCTCTATTACACCTTAGAAAGGATAAGACGGGGAAATTCGGAGTACAATTGGGGGATGGGCACCGACAAGAATCTGAAGGAGTATGCCGTCAACTCTCCATTAACTTACCAGGATGCTATCAAAACGGATTGTTTTGTCTTTCCACTGGCTGGAGTGGACCTTATACTGGGCGTGGCTTGGCTAGCAACATTAGGAGAAGTGCGAACCAATTGGAAGGAATTAACCATGCAGTTCAAACTTAACGGCAAGCAGGTAGAATTGAGGGGCGATCCAGCAATGAGTAAGAATGCAGTCAGTTTGAAGACTCTTCTTAAAACAGTCGATGGGGAGTTTAGTGCGGTTGTCCTCATCAGGGAAGCCGGCAAGATGGCAGGGGCAACAATGGAATCATTGGAGGACATTCTCGGCCGACACAGGAAGTATTCACCGAATTGCAGGGGCTGCCACCATATCGCACTAGGGACCACCGCATCGAGCTGATTTCAGGGGCAAAACCAGTCTCGGTACGGCCATATCGGTACGGTCATCTGCAGAAGGATGAAATTGAGAAATTAGTTGATGAGATGCTTCAGGCCGGCATCATTCAACCTAGTTCCAGTCCATTCTCCAGTCCAGTTCTGTTAGTCAAAAAGAAAGATGGCAGCTGGCGATTTTGTGTGGATTATAGGGAATTGAATAAATCAACGGTGGCGGATAAGTACCCTATTCCGGTAATCCAGGAGATGTTAGACGAGCTGGCTGGGGCTGTGGTCTTTTCTAAGATTGATTTGTGTTCCGGGTATCACCAGATCAGGGTGGCAGAATCAGACATCCACAAAACCGCCTTCCGGACTCACAGTGGGCATTATGAGTTTTTGGTGATGCCTTTTGGACTAACCAACGCACCAGCGACTTTCCAAGCCGTCATGAATGATTTATTTAGACCTTATTTGCGGAAATTTGTACTGGTATTTTTTGATGACATCTTAGTGTACAACAAATCATGGGCCGATCACCGGGAGCAGTTAGATCAGGTACTGGGAATCCTGGAGAATAATCAGTTCAGAGCAAATAAAAAGAAGTGTGCTTTCGGCCAACCACAGGTAGAGTACCTCGGACACATCATCTCTCAAGCAGGGGTAGCCAAGGATCCGGCCAAAGTCAGTGCGGTGGTAGATTGGCCTCGGCCGAAGACTGCCCGAGAGGTCCGAGGGTTTCTAGGATTGACTGGTTATTACAGGAGGTTCGTGAGAGAATACGGACTGATTGCACGACCGCTTACGGATCTTTTAAAAAAAGAAGCTTTGACTCATTTTCAGTGGACTGAAAAGGCCGAGAAGGCTTTCCGCCAACTTCAGAAGGCCATGACTGAAGCACCTGTGCTAGCCATGCCCCAGTTTGACCGTTTATTTGTGGTAGAATGTGATGCATCGGGGATCGGGGTTGGAGCGGTTCTTATGCAAGAACGAAGACCGATTGCTTACTTTAGTAAATCATTGGCTGACCGAACCCTGTCCAAATCCGCCTATGAGAGAGAGATGATGGGTTTGGCTTTGGCCGTGCAGCATTGGCGGCCATATTTGATTGGACGAAAATTCCTAGTACGGACTGATCATCGGAGTCTCAAGCATCTGCTCACTCAGCGCATAGCCACTCCATCTCAGCAAGTTTGGGTGGCAAAATTGTTAGGATATGATTTTGAGATCGAATACAAGACAGATGTTTCTAACAAAGCAGCGGACGCTTTGTCCCGACGAGGAGAGGAAAGGGAATTAGCCGCAATCAGTATTCCCGAATGGATGGGTTTGGCCGACATAGGGGAAGAACAACAGAAGGATGAGGCTTTGCAGAAGATCTGGGAAACCGTGGCTATAGACCCAACAAAGGTGCCCGGTTACGAGGTGATTGAGCAGCGGCTGTTTTACAAAGGCCGCTTGGTGCTGCCCGCGGGTTCCCGGTGGGTTCCGAAGTTGATAGAGGAATTCCAT